CCCTTTTGGGTGGAACATTGCTCTATAAACTAATTACACGGCACCTATACGACTGTCCCCAAGGGCAACCACGTAGCTGTTTTTGAGACAAGGATAACTCTATCACTAAGCAAACCAGTGGTAGCAGTTGACATCTGAGTCAGATGACCGCCTGTATTACTTGGGATAAATACAGGGGGTACCTCTTGAGTTAATAGCCAACAAACATTGGCGAATCAAAAGGTTCAGCCGGTCTCCGCCGTCTGGTACCTTTACTACTCAAGCAGGAGTGACGGCGACTGAGTAACACCAAAGTTAACTCATAGTCACTCTCTCAAACTTAGTATGGAGCCTAAAAGGTATGAGTCGTCCGCCTGTTTTTAGAAACAGGGGCCCTCAACCACTACTCCTGCTAGGTTAACAACCTATGAGTTAAAAGCCAACAAACATTGGCGAATAAAGGGGAACAACCGGTACCCACCGCTTGATACCTCTACTACTCAGTTACTTGGCGACTAGGTAACAATCATGTTTACTTGGTCACTCCTTAAAAATTTAGTATGAAACTAAAAAGGTGTTCATACAGCACCGGCTCACACTAGATTAAATATGGCGGGGAACAGTCGGCCTAGACGGCCTAAAGTCTCTAGCCTAAAAACATGAAAAGTAGGAAACCACTTTCCTACTTGGTTAATTTTATATGACAGAACCGCCTGCCTAAAGGGGATCCAGACTTTAAAATGGTTCGAATACCGATTGGATAAATGGCCGACTGATCGTCTAGCCTGGAAACAGACAACCAGTCGTCCAGGGGCATAGGCGGCGTGACTAACTATCCGTACCTGTGCAACTATTGGCCATATAAAACAGTCGGTATAGTGTACAATTGGATATCAGAATATTCAATACTTGAACAAATTTGAAGCAAAACAAAAAAAATTCATTAAAAAGAAGCCGGTCATCAAAGACCGGCAAAATATTCAGAGCCCCGGCCCCCTGGCCGGGTAAATACAAACAAACGGCACGCAGGCCGTGGAAAGAAGACATAAAGCTTAAGAAGGGGGCAGATCTTCAATATTAGCAGCTGCCGCCTGGTCAGCACTCTTCTTGCTGGACTCGGCTTCAGCTGCATCCTTCTTTGATGCATTACCCCCAAGCGGCACAAGCGCCACTACCGGCTGCTCCTCCTCCTCCAACGCCTCTTCCTCAGCAGCCGCCAACGCCTCTTCCTCAGCAGCCGCCAGGATCTCTTGATTATATCTATCAGAACACTGGCGGTACGTTTTTTCCCATGAGGCAAAGTCGGCATTGGGGAAGAGGCGGCCCCAAGTCATGTGCTGGATTTGATCAGAGTCTTCCATCATCTCCCGGACCAGCTCTTTCTTTTCTTGCTCGGCCTTTTCCGAGAGCTCCTGAGTAAGACTCTTCTCCTGGGTCACCAGGCGTACCTTTACGCTCGCCAAGGATTTCTCCAAGGTTTCGTATGAGGACATCTTTTGGCGAAGAGGTCTCAGCTCGGCCTTGAGGTTGTTGATGGTCGCCTCCAGCTCGCTATTCCTCTTCTGGGCCGCCTCTAACTGAGCCCGGATAGCGGCGGTAGCCTGCGCCTGATAATAAAGAATATCAATGGTCAGAACTTCATTTTGGGCAATTTGAAACATTGCCTTATCACAGTCAGAGGCGGCCATAGCTTTTGCAGCCTTTACCTCTTTGTTCTTCCGGTCAAGCGGCTTGCGAAGGCCGTTCACTCGGAGCAGGGCCTAAGTAAAAAGGGGAACAGGCGTCAGTTTCCAAACAAAAAGAGAAAACAAGCGTCCTGGAATTCAAATACTCAAAAATATGCTAAGTATACCTCAGCAAGGACCCCTGCAATCCCGTCTAGGTCAAGGGTGCCGACACCCCTGACCGCCTCCCTTTCAGCTGGAGAAACGGCCTTGATCATAGACTTGGCCACCTCGACCAAGTCAGGCTCCTGAGGGCCGGCTGCATCAAGCATAAACAAACGGATTAGACCTAGTAAAGGAGGGAGCAAGTCTAAAATTTACAAGAACAATTTCATACTTCTAGGTGGCCCAGCTGGAGTTTTAGAAGAAGTGGCCGACTGTTTCTCAGCCGCCGCATGTTTCCTGGCAGAACAAGGAGAGCTCGCAACAGTCGTCCTCCGGGCCTTGGGGTCCGGCTGTTGGGAAGAAGAAGCTCTTGGAGCGCCCGTCTAAAAAAGAAGAAAATAGTCAGTATATGCATAAACACAACTCCAAAAAGAGGGTGAAAGGTTCGAAGCCCACCAAGGGTGCCCCCTTGTTGGGGGAGTCGGTTGAAGACTGTTGCATGATGGAGGCCCGCAACATGGCCGCCGCAGTCTTGGAGGCGGTAATTTTGCTCATGGCGTCCGCTGCAAAAACAAATAGCAAAGTTAATAAAAGTCATAACAAGAAATGCATGGAACAACAGAGTATTCGACAGGCCGGCTACCTCTTGAGCACCGACTGCTGAGGCCACAGGCGGCCAAAAAGTACTCGTCGTAGAGCCATTTGAAGCTCGGGACGCAGTGCAGGGGTACTTGCTCTCGTACCCCTGAAGTAGAGTTCACCTTCGACTCTACTTTGAAGAGTCCTTTATCTAGGATCTCTTTCTTAGCCTTGGGGGGAACATGCGGCATGCTGCGGCCGCCTGCAAGAAGGGGCGGATTCCTGTTCCACCTGTTGAAGCGCTTGTTCAGCTCTGTGTCTGAACTCTCAATGATGAGGAAGGTGCTCCGCCCGTCCTTCCATTTGTTTGCTTTACCTCTCGTCATGAGGTAGCCCCTGTGGCTCGTCAATTGATACCACCCGGTACCGCCTGCCTTAGGGGTCCGGCTGAGGTAGTTCATGTGGGCGAAAGCCTCGAAGCTCGGCTCCACCCCGTGCAGTTCGCACCCGGCCACATAGCCGAGTACGTTGACCCAGGAGTTCGGGGCTAACTGCCATAACCCCAACTCATACCCATCCAAGATCCGCTGAACAGCTGGATGTAGTGGGAAGCGCAGCCCAGCCTTGATGGCCGCCTCGTAGCAGCCAAAGCAGGCGCCATCATAACTGGTACCAGCCGCCCATACGACTGTGTCTTCTGGATCCGGCACGAACACTAAAAAGCCGGGGCCCATTGTGTGGTTTGCGATAAAGCTCTCCACTTTCTCTTGCATGGCCGTGATCCGGCCCCGAGGTACCGTGCAGTAGTAGGGGGTATTTTGCTCTCGGTGAGAGGCGGATGGCTCCGCCCAATCGTCCCCCTTCTCAACTGCGTGAGAAAGCCTCGCCTCTTGTAGGCGACTGTTTTTCTCTTCCGTGTCCAGGGAAGCATGGCCAGAAGAGCTAGACTCGGAATTGTCCTCTGACGAGTCCGAAGAGGACGACTCCTCCCCTCTCCCGGAGGGGCCCGCCTCCTCTCCTTTAAAAGGAGCAGGAGAGAATGTAGAATTGTCAACTGTAAAATGGGAAGGGGTCACTTGACTCCTCCCTCAGAACTGCCGGCTTTCAAGCCGCTTTGTTTCACTTCCACATCTGGCGCCTGGTCAGATGTTTCACTAATCGGCACCCTGTGGGAGGAGCCGTCTGAGTTTGAGATCCTGGCAGTCTTTTTTGTTCTGGCCATCATGCTCTGCATAGACACAGATACAGTCGGACTTTGTATAAAGGGCAAAGATGGGTCCAGAAAAGGGCAGGCGGCACTCCTAGTCCTAGATTCAGCCGTCCCCGGTGACCGGCTGATCACTAACCTAGGTCGTGTCGTGTGCTTCCGTGATGCCATTTCAAAAAAGAATAAAGTAAAGAGAAAATTAAGAGTAAGAGTACCGACGGTTACCTGAACGAATGACGATTGATGAAGTTCTGAAAATCCTTTGCAGTCGGCTTGTTAGAGCAGGCAAGGCAGAAAGGGTCCAAAATGTCAGAGCAAGTTCAGGGGTCCGAATGTTCTCTCACAAAGTTTTCAAGTGTGAAAATGACCGAAGTCAACACTCCTTTATATAGGCGAAGTGAGAAGGCGAAGGGTCACTTCCAGAATTCAAAATTTTGGCGGGAAAATCTCTCGGCCTCTCGCCGGGTGACACCAGTAGCAGGTCGTCGCCTGTTATAGGGCGATACCTGTCACAGGTAACACGTGACCAGTCACGTGCCACCTGTGAGGGGCAAATGATTAGGGGATTTTCCCCCACCAATCACCATCTGACAAGTGGACCAATCAGGTTCCGCCATGTGTCCGTCACATGGGCCAATAGGAGCCTGCCACGTGTCAAGCAATGATCCGTCCACCATGGACCAATTACGACACGACACGTGTCCTTCCAATGACACCTGGGATAACCGGTCACCTAGGCCCAACTCCCGAGGGAAGCCCAATCAGCCCAAGGTTAACCTAAACCTAGATTGACACGTTTCCCGAGGTTATAAATACCTACCTTAATCCTCATTAAGAGGGATTACACGCTAAAACGCAGATTACACACATTAAACACTCTCACCTAGAGAGACCCAATCACTTTAATTTCCGCATTAATTACTCCTTAATCAAGTACTAACTTGACCGTCGGAGGCGGATCTCCAATCATCCGGAGCATCCGTTTGTTTTGCAGGTACAGGCGTCCGGTTCCAGTCTCGGAATTGTAACTCTCCCGCAGGACATCAGAAAACCCCGAAACAAATAGCATGCGTTAGTTCGGGCATGTAAGACGGAGACCCAAGAGTGCACCACTATGTAGAGTGTAATAGTGGGACCATGAGGGAGAGGGAGATCGAAAATGACTTGGTTGGAAGAAGTTAGTAAGGATATGAAGTATATGGATTTGCTTGAGCATGAGGCATTTGATCGTAAGGGATAGAGGGGGAAGATTTTCGTTAATAATTATACAGAATAATTATTTTTGGTTCATATAACTGACCCCACTTATGTAATTAAAAATTTGATTGATTGAGGTCCATTTCAGAGTTTGTATCAATAATATTATAACATTTTCTTGTTCGATAAAATTTTGATTCGTAATTTACCTAATTGCATCACGAACAGCCATAAGATGTCCCGCAGCATACTTGATTCTGTCGTAATCATAAAATGCATCTTGCAATTCTTTATATTTTCCCAGAGCAATTAAATCTTTTACTGAGCTTGTTATCGTAGGTTGCGACGAAGTACCTGTCAATGCATGATAAAATGGAATTAGATAATGTAGAACCTATTAAAGTGAGTACAATTACTTTGATGAAATTCATAGAATTTTACCCTGATTTGTTAATAGTACATACTACCGACCCCTTTCTTTTTTATTTTACTCACTCGTTATTTACACGGTCAAATTTACAAAACTTTGACTCTATTGTATTGTGTTACTTTCAAGTTTCAACCAAAGTAAAAATTGTTACTCCGATCCACTTGTGATTTAGTTAGAATCGGTTCTGTGTAGCGTCAAAATATTAACATCATCCTAATTTACACTTGCATGTAATTAATTAAAGATATAATTGCTCAAATATGTGCATTTCATCATGTAAAAGTATATATAGAGAAAGTATATGAAATAAGTTTTCATTAAAATGCTATTATTAATGATATGATATGATATACTTCGTAGTACATAGTATATACTACCTTAACCTAACTATATAAATTTGTCATACCATTTGTTCAAATTACACAACTATACGATAAAAATTAGACACATTAACCTAATTAAATGTTATGATAAACATACTTTCTCGGAATAAATATAAATGTGCAGTGATATATTTTTTCAATTTTCATATCTCTAAGAAAATTAGACTACATTCAGCAACTTTTCAGTGTGGCAGGGGTTACTAGTAGGGGTTACTTACTTAGGGGTTACATACTTACTCAGTCGGTTAGCGCGTTTTTATTGTGAGAGTAACCCCGACCAATCTAGTAACTCTTGAATAATTAACCCCTGTATAAGTAACCCCTATAATTTACCCATAACCAAATGAGTAACCCCTGAATAAGTAACTCCTGACCAAATGAGTAACCCCTGAATAAGTAACTCCAAAATAAATAACTCCTACAAGTAACCCCTGACCAAACGAGTAACCCCCTACAAGTAACCCCTGTCACACGACGTGACTAGCCACATATAAAATATTGTGTACTACATTATTAAATATTTCGGAGCTGAGTCTAAACTGAGACATTATAGATTTGTTTTGGAGATTCTTTATGAAAATGGAATGTAGTAATTCAAATTAATTAAAAAATGCATTGAACTCACCATTCTCAGTGACATATAGTATAGGATTACCATACTTATTCTTCATGTGAAGTAGCAATTGCTTAAGTCCATCAGGATAATCATAGATGTCATTCCTTCCTTCGGCTGGCCTTCCAAGAGTCTTTTTCTCAACATTCTCTGGAGGAATCATTCATAGATAAATACTTTAGTATTTTCGCCCATGTACAAAGCAACATGTGAGTAAAAGTCTTGTTCCACATTAAATGAATAATAAGAGTGTGGCAGAGATTTAGAATGTGTATTTCATCTTAAGCCTTTGAGGTAACACGTATTTGGAGTTATAAAGTGGACACTCGTGTTTGATGTAGCCCAGACGCATTTAACAAGCATGCTAGAGAATGTACTGAAATTAGTGCTACGAAGTGAGTACTTATATGCTACTCGTAGGTCAATTGACAATATTAAAATCATTCATACCGGTACGAGGCTTGAAAGAAACTGTGACTTCGCCGGTTAGTCCATCGAAAGAAAAAGTGTGTTGGATGTATCTTGAAGAGTAGTAGTTAACACCGATGAAATCGAAGGCGCCTTTCACAAGCTCCTTTTCCTCATCAGTGAACTTCGGAAGTCCAGGGATGTTATTTTTTATCCATTCCGGATAATCGCCATGAACAAGTGGATTCATAAACCTAATTCATCAAATTTGTCATTAATTATATTAGAGATAATTGTATTTAATAATATTATGTACCGATCTAAGTATAACAGTTAAAAAAAATTTAAAATGGTGTAACATTTTAAAGTATTTGGTTATAATCGTAAATATACATGGTGTAACAGTGTAAAGAGTGTAAGATTCATAGCCAGCTTGTAAAACAATGAAAATCAAAATATAACAGTCTATGGTAATAGAGGAAGTATGTAATAGTGTACATGCAGAATAATGACATAACAATACTACTTTTAGTTAAATTACACTTCTGTTGTTTTTACTTGACAGGGTAATGTGTAAGACTTACTACCTCTGTTTTTCAAAGTTTTACTCAAGCTACACAAACCAATATGTAAAAAAGGATCATTTATATGGGTACTTTTGTTTTAAAGATCGAGGATATAGATAGATACTATAAGTTTTATTAAAATCTAATTTGGCCTCACAAAGTGGTGTTGTATATAACATAAAAAAGTAAAAGGTTGACATAATAGAAATAAATTAAAGTAAATAAAACTTTGAAAAGCGAATAAAAACGAAAAATGAGCAACACCTTGGAAATCAAATGAAGTATAACATTAGAAAAGTTGAAAAACATACCAACCAATGGACATCTCCAAACTTTCTTCTGTTGCAGCTACATCCTTAGGTTCATGTTGATTAAATGGCATAGCCCATTGAATTGGCAATGAAATTCCAATTTTCCCCCTTTGCAAATTCTTCAAAACGTCACATGAGAAACTAATTAGATTGCGAAAACCAACTTATTTTATAGCATCAAGTAGGATTCCAGACGTCGAAAACAGGTAGTACGTACCTTAAATTCGTGCTTGTAGAGTTTTGCAGCCTCAGAATGAGCTAAAATAATATTATGATAAGCAATATAAGGAGCTTCGGTATCAATCTGAAGCTGAGGAGGAAATCCCATTAATTTTCCAAGGTAAACATAGACTAGAGGCTCATTAATCGTCTCCCAGAACTTTACTCGATCACCAAACTTCTCAAAACATAGCTTTGCATATTCCTTAAAGAGTTCTCTGTACGCAAGAACATTTAAAATTTGAAAATACTTGGTTCGACCAAATTACAATTAATAACAGTCAAAATGATGGATTGATGGTGTAATGTGATGAATTAGTAATGGAGCAACTAAATTCATAAGCACTTGAACCTGATGTTCGGACTCAAGAAGCCCCCAAATTTGTCCTGTATACTTTGTGGCAGATCGAAATGCAGTAGAGTAACAATAGGTGTAATACCTGGTAACATTGGATGAATTTGTGATGAAGGTATACACATAAAAAGTTAAAAAGTACTTTGTACGTATTAGCAATAATAATGTTTTGACTTTTGCATTTGTTAATACAGTATAAACTTATATCTTTATTACTCTGATATTGAACTAAATTTAAAAAGAAGCTAGTTTTTTTTTTTTTTTTTTTTTTTTTATTTGTTTATTTGTTTTTTTTTTTTTTTTTTAATAGGTAGAAAGAAGCTAGTATTTTTGAAATATGCATTGCGATGCATTATAATTAAGAGTTTACATGACTTATAGGTACAATGTATGTTACTGATGGAGAATATACATAATCTCTATCAGTTACTATTGTAAAAAACAACATATTGCAACTTGGAAAAAAAAAACGAGTATATAATGTCAAACTGTTGAATTAGTAATAGAAGGTTACCATTTCCAATCAAATCATTAATCAAATTGTTGTAGAAGTCTATGCCCTCTTCATTAACCTCTGTGTGGACGGTACCGTCTGCATGCATATAAGAATGTGTATAGAACAATAATTAACAATAAAATAAAAGTGAAAATTGTGTGAAGAGAAAGATATAAATCTATTAACTATTACTAAAACAGAGTATGCTGACGTCATCAATGCCTACATGTCGCTCTCTCAATAAAAAATTTCCCGCTTAAATGCAAGAATGATATTTTTTTTAAAAAAATATTGGAAGCTTTTATATTACAATTAAAATCGCCTATTAATTAATCTTAGGAAATTAAAATAATTTTACATCAATAACTATATACTAAAAGACACACCAACAATGACACGTGTCATCTTTTGGTGTGTCCTTAATTTAGGTTTTTTTTTTGATATAATTCTATTAAAAAAAACAAATCTTATACTAATAAAATAGTTTCTATTCTTACAAAATATAATTACTTAAAATAAAAAAGATTTGACATATCTTTAATACTAAAAGACACACCAGCAATGACTCGTGTCATCTTCCGATGTGTTCTTTGTTTAGTTTTTTTTTTTTGAATAAAATTCTATTAAAAAAATAAATCTTATACTAAAATAGTTTCTAATCTTATAAAATATAATTACTTAAAATAAAAAAGATTTGACATATTTTTAATACAAATATTTGTATAGCTACGAAGTATAAAAAATATTATTATAATTTTCTACGTCATTTTATATCTACCATATGTTTTGTAATCCTTTATTTTGATTGAAATTTATCAATTATATTTTTAAATTTTTTTGTTTTTAAATAACTAATTATAATAAAATTTTAATAGTAGTTATTAAAAATTACCGTGCATGGCACGGGAACTAACCTAGTTAAAAATAAATAAGAGAAAGTTTTTAAAAGAAAGTGACACACTTTAAAAAAAAAATACTGCTAAAGGTAAGTGACGAAGGTAAAAATCAAAAGGATATATTTTAAGAAAATTTACAGTCATACATTAATAAATTCCATAAGATTGGTTTTATTTATTTACAAACACATATGATTAATTAGCATCAAGGTTTCAAGGAACTCACATGGTAATATCCTTGACCAAGAAATGGAAAATCTGTACGTATTCATGCCCATTTTTTCCAACAGCTTCACATCTTCCTGCATTTATCACCATTTTTTTCAATTTGTTTATTTTGGATAGATAATTACGAGACTTGACTTAGCTAGAATATATACCACCTATGTTCTCAAAGGTTGAACTCACTTATATAAAGTTTTTTGGTTTTTTTTTTTTTTTTTTTTTTTCTTCTTTTCAATGAAAGTTTGGAAATAGTAAGTAGGCCCCCGTGCAACAAAAAAAGTCGATAAAGAGAAATAGCGTAAAATATGTTGGGTTGTGCTTCCTAATATTTAGTGGGTTAGTAATGGACTAGTGGTTTCCTAATATTTAGCTCTGGTAGTTTATCATTAGCTTATTTAAGGGAATAGATGTATCTCACTTTTATTAAGCAATAATAAATTCAAATTTCATTAGTTTTGCTCATTTATTTTTTTTTCTTTAGTTTATATTTTATATTCAACATGGTATCAGAGCACAGATTAGATCCTAAGATTTTTCCCAAAAAATAAAAATGGTGGGTGTAATTTAGTCAAGGGAAATATAGTAAGCCAAATAATATATTTGCGAGTTAAAATCATGGCAAACAATGTTGTTAATGAGTCATCTCAACCCTTAATTCCGATTGTTAAAGGTGATAATTATCACCTATGGAGTCTCAAGATGAAGACTTTGTTCAAGTCTCAAGAGTTATAGGATTTGGTGGAGTACTGTTACGATGAGCTGAACTCGACACCGGCTAGATCCGATCAGCAATTGCGAGAAAATCGTAAGAAAGATGCAAATGCCCTATTGTTTATCCAATCGGCATTGGATGATGAGATTTTCCCCATAACTTCTATTGCATCTTCCTCCAAGCATTTATGGGAGATCATCTGTTGTAAACGAAACTTGTAGGAACAAAAATAATATGAACAATGTTACCGGGAATGAGACTGAGTCGCGGACTATGCCGCTCTCTTTAGAACATTCACGGCACTGCCTTGAATTTGTGCAAGCAGCTCATAGCTAACCGGATGTCCCCCAAGATAAAATAGTCTCTCAAAACTATAAAGTACCGGTGGATTTGCACTGAAGCACCGGGCAATTAAACATCGAAAAATGTAATGAAACTGCTCGAATATTTTAAGAAGAAGAGAGATTAGAAGATAATTGTTTATGTTGTGTTTGAAAACCGAGAACAAAGAGGCCTTTTATAGGCAAAAATTGCAGCATAACGGTACCAAATATATCAGCCATTAAATCCGCCCATATCCAGCATTTACCAAAACCGAAAATTAAAATTAAACGGCCAAAATTTAATTTACGAAATGGTAAGCAATATTTAACGCACCATTAAGTCAGAAAATGGAACAAATTAAAACGGCTCCTAAAACAGTCAAATTTTAATTAACACAAAATCTGGAATAAAACGGTTATGGAGAGAATCAGTCAAAAACGTTTAGCAAGCCTTGTTCAAAAATTAAGCTTGTTTAATAAACCCGACCCAGCCCGGCCCGACTCGACGCGCTTGTGTGTGATAGGTTGACTTAGTAGGTAAGTCCTCCCTCTCCACAAAATGTGGATAGCCCAAGGGCCACACCCGAGAAACTCCACACTCTACATTATAAAGGAGGTAAAACTTTCATTTTCCACCAATACGAGACTTATTGTTTTTCACAAAATTCACACTTCACATTACTTTGTTCCAACATCATCAAACAAGAGTACTTTGGCGATAAGAAGGTAATTTGCTGCAAAATTACAAACTCTTTGTACTTAATTTGAGAGTTTAACAATTAATGTCAAAGAAAGAATCAATTCAAGATTATTTGTCGAGAGTGTCTTCAATTATTAGTCAAATGAAAATATATGGTAAGAATATCTCAAATGAAACAATTGTGGGGAAGGTGTTAAGGAGGTTGAACAGTGATTATAAGCATATTGTGACTGCAATTTTAGAGTCTGAGGACATATCAACTTATACATTTGATGAGTTCTTTGATGGCTCATGAGGAGATAATGGATAAGTGTGCAGATGAAAATGTCGAGGAGAAAGCCTTTCAAGTCAAAGGGTAATTGTCGAATGATTGGCTTTATGATGGAGGTCATGGTCGCGGTATGGGTAGTCGAGGTCGTGATGGAAGTGATTGTGGTTATGGTCGAGGTCGTGAAGAAAGTAGAGGGAGTGGTCGATTTGAATGACAACGTCCATCAATGAGTAGTGTTCAAAGTTACTATTGAAAGAGGTATGGTCATAAAGAAAACCCGGTGATGGGATAAGCAAAGAGACGAGCAAGGTAGTGATGAACAAAACAACTATGCTCAAAAGGTTGAAGAGGAAGAGAAAGCTCTTCTAAAGTTGAGTGTGTGGTTAAGTGTTCATGTTGAAATCAAAGTATTATGTCGAGTTTAAGTCAAAGTCCATCGTCGTTATATGTTTAGCAAATCAAATTAGCTTTACTGATTAAAGCTCATTTTTACTAATCCTGTGTTATATTTGTTGTTTAAAGTCACAGATTTTATTGATAAACCTAAATTTCACTAGAGTGAAGTTATTTTTTACTAAATTGAACTTAGTTTTACAAAACTACAATTATATTTACTCAATATTATTGATTTGAAGTAAAGAGAACATGACCTAATCTATATTAGATAAAAGAGACGTCGTGCAAAAGATCTTGGCATTATAAACGTGTTACCCTCTTTATTTTTATCTAGCTATTGGGTAGAATCATGTCGTAATATAAAATATTTGAGGGTTGGTGAGTTGAGACTTGAGAGTTGAGACAATGTGAATATGATAAGAAATTGAATTCGAAAGAGTAATTGACAATATTATGAGATTGCGACACTAGTTCAAGAAAAATATTAGATGTGCAAATGGAGCTAATATAGTTGTATAATTTTAGATTAATCAATTAATAATACTTCCTTCATTAACAGTTATTTGCGACAAAGGGGGTCTGCACGGACTCCTAGGCATAACTTCTTAAACATGATTATTGAAAGTTATGGACATGTAATTAACTATTAATCAAATTAAAAAAAAAGGAATTACAAATTAAACCAAAACCGCCCAGAACCACCATCGCACGCCACCTGGAACCACCACCCATGCCACCCAGAACCCACGAACCACCACCCACGCCACCCACAAATCATCGAAACCACCCACAAACCACCGAAATCCACCTAAGAACCACGAAAATCACCCAAAAACCACCAGTGAAACCCAAAAACCAAACTCACCCACAAAATAGCCACCCGCGAACCACTAACACCCACGAAATAGCCAGCCATGAACCACCCACGAACCACCAACACCCACGAAATAACCACCAACACACACGAATACCAACACCCACGAAATAACCACTCACCAGATCTACCAAACCTACCCACAAACCACCAATAACCACCCACGAACCAAATGAGAGATGAGAAAGATAATTTAAAGTAGAAATAAGGGATTAAAAATGAAGAAGGAGATGAGAGATGAAGAAGGAAGAAGATGATGAAGTGAGAGATGAAAATGGAGGAGAGAGATGGTGGGGAAATGGATGAATCAGATTTTTTTTGGAAAAAGTTTAGATAATTAAGTTAGATTAGAGTTATAATAATTTGTAATTATGTGTGTATTATGTGTTAATAATTTTTAAATGAGGTATTTTGGTCATTTTACTAGAAAAAAGTTACTTTATTAGGAAAGAAATAGTTTTGTTGCAAATAATAGTTAACACCCTTTTTGGTAAATGTTGCAAATAACTGTTAACAGAGATAGTATAATTAATCATTCTTCTAAATTATCAATAAACCACAAATTATAGAGTATGATTTGGAATCAATAATTTATACCTTGTAAAGATGGTAAGAGTCAACTGCTTTCCTTCCTTTCTCGGCTTCAATCATGGAGTCCCAAGTGCCTTTTCGTCTTCCTCCTTCATCTCCTCGTCCTTCAGTCTAATACATGTCATTCACGTATAAAAATCATGCATATCAATCAATAACTCATACAACATATTTAGAAATAAAGCAATAATTTATATGGTATAATTATTAGTGCTTTAATCAAATTAAATTTATATTTGGTGGAAATTTTGAATGATCCTTTCTAATGAAAAGTTGAAGCTATAGAACTCCAAATATTAAGATAAAAGAGCACGTTGAAAATGCTAAATCTAGCACACCACAACGGCACAACCCGACTGCAATTTGAAGCAAATAGTTTTGTTAATTACACCTAAGTAATAGATTGCAAAATAAGATGAAAATGAAAAGGCTAGCTCTCCAATTTTACAAAAACAAAATCCAGCTTCGAGGATATAATGCAAACCGTAAATCCACATATATAACTAAATTATACCATCGCAGTATCAATTACATATTACTAAAGGCAAATCTAAAAAGACACTTGGCAACATTATACAAAAAAATTTCCTGCAAAAGTATTTGCTTAAAAAATAATTACCATAACTAACAATTATTGTATCCAAATAATGATATTTTCTTTACATAAAATCTAAACTAAACTATCTATAATATGAAAATGTCCATTATAGCTATTATTATATATGGTTATTTTTTTAATATCTATCTATAATTATATACTGACGAATAAAAAATGACACATGGGTTAAAAAAATTCCTGCCAAAAAATTTCAGTGTTAACTTAAGAAATATTTAATTTACTATTTTTCCTTCCTAATTTACTATTATATTCAAGATAAATATCATTTCATATCATTTACATTTAAAAAATTTTAATGAGTCAAAATGAATATAATTTTTTATAACTACATATAGAAAATTTAGTAGATTATAAAAATTCATAATTTTTAATGAAAATGGACTTTAGTATACTTTTTATAAAGAAAAAAGATTTGTAAAAAATTATTGAACTACATACAAATTATTGTACATCATTATAAAATTTGGTAAAATTGTGCATTGCACGGGATTTAAAACTAGTGTAACTACTAATTTCCGTCGAATTTATGATAAATTACAAGTTTATCTCCTTAAAATTGCAAAAATGTAAATAATTTAACAACATTTTTGTAAAATACGGGACCTACAGTTGTTGATTTATTTCTAGACATGCCATGAAAACTTGACAAAATTGTTGATTTATTTATAATTTTGCCTGTTTATCAAGGAGATAAAGTGGGACTTCCTCTAGATTTATGAAAGATAGTAAGAAAACTTGAGCTTAAAGAGAGAGAGGGAAAAAAAACCTGAAGGGCAGAAGTGGAGGCACCAAAGAGGAAACCATCAGGAAAGTCAGCTCTATCCACTTTTAAAAAAGGTAGTGGCGCCGGAGGTGGAATGTCATCCACAACTAAACTGTACCTTCGATGATCTTCAGTAGACCTAATTTCTTTATCACTCATGCAATTCACATCAATGGAGAAGGAATTCACATCAACAGAGAAGGAAGGAATATCCATCGATTTGGTTCGTTGGAAGAAAAATCAAACGAACTATTGTATTGTATGGAATTCGATCGTGTGATCTCCTATTTGTGCCTCTTTTAGTAATACAATTTCAATGAGGTTATACCAAATTTAGTCATTAACCTTCCTTATTTAAGATATTTAGGTAGATTTATTACTACAAATAAAATGAAGTCAACAGATCTTGCTTCTTTAGCCCATCTTAAAATCCTAACAAATCTTCATTCGTAATTTCTTAATCATTGTACGTGATTGTCATCTCCTTTGCAGGCACTAAGCTAAGGTCAAATAATATACAAAATATATATATATATTATTTTGTTCGATCACATGACTCATGGCCGGCTAAATTTTTTTTAATAAAATTGATAATCAGACCTCAACAAAATTGTATTGATAATTCCTTAATAAAATTAGTAGACATTTTTGTAAGAAAAAGTTGCATTAAGAAATTACATGACGGTTAGTTGCTTCTTGATTTAACAAAAACAATCAGCTCATAAAGTTAATATTTTTAATTACACTAGACCGGCGAATGTCGCGATCCACGCACCATAGCTAGTTATGTCCAGCGAGATCTTTTGATTTGGCCTTATATACCACAAATTTAGTTAGCATCATTAATGAGAGATAATGTGTAAACAAATGTTTAGGGGTATAAATATCTGTACACCATTCTTAAAAGTTTCAAAAAAGAAGCAATTCTCATTAGTAAGGGAAAATAAGTAAATAAATATTATTAGATATAATTTTTCGAATACTATTGATAAAAGCTATCTCAAACTTTTAAAAGGTAGAGATAAGTCAAGAAGGAAAGTTGTGATGTCCTCTTGAAAAGACTTTAGTACCCCACTTGGCCAGTACTACTGTTACAAAATTAGGCAAAAAAATAATTATTATATTTAATTGCAAAAAGCAATCACGCACATCATCAATAATCTTTAATCAAATACGAAATATGTCTTTAATTTATTCAAACAACTAGGTTTGTGCCATGTACAATAATTTTCAACAACTATTATTTAATTATCACTATATTTATTTATAGAAAAATAAATCTACCTAAGTTATTACTTTGTAAAATTAATTTATTATGAAAGAGTCTATTATTAGCAAAATAGAAATCCTTAAAAAAAAAATCATTGTTGTAATAATGGTAGAGTAGTACATAATGCTATGTATGTCACAAATTATGTTAAGAATTGGATTTTTGTTTTTTTTTTTTACTTAAGTTTATGGTTTCAATATTTGACAAATACATAAGATGTTGAATCAAATAAAATTTTCTTTCATAAAAACTACGATCGTCAAGTAGATCTTGCACTATGAAACTGTAGGAGCTTAGGTAATTTCGGAATTTCACGAATCATATTTGTTTGCACCTAATCAGGATCTACAAGCATAACAAATAAAGAATCACATAATTAATACATTTGACACGTGATTTCGACAAATGATTAACTACAAATTGAAGGAGAATAAGATTCCCAAGTATTGCTTCTCTATTCAGTCCACGGGCTAAGATTGAACCTCCACTATAGCTAGATAGTCGGGCACGAACCTCCTTCGAACCACCTTCTACGGAGTGGAGGGAGAAATCAACCATCACGAGCAACCACATGCACACGTCACACATATGCACAGAAGGAAAGAAGAGAGAGAGATTTAGGTTTTTGTTTCTTGGTAGCTTGGGATTAATCCAATGATTTTTCTAGGCAACTCTAATTATATATATATATATATATTTATATATATATATATATATATATATATATATATATATATATATATATATATATATATATATATATATATATATATATATACATTTTTGGTAGCTTGGGATTAATCCAATGATTTTTCTAGGCAACTCTAATTATATATATATATATATATATATATATATATACATTTTTGGTAGCTTGGGATTAATCCAATTATTTTTCTAGGCAACTCTAATATTATATATATATATATATATATATATACATATGGAAATTTTTGACTTTTTTTGGCCGGGAAATAAAAATTGTCGAAATGATTACCATGGATCCTAATACCTTCCGGGAGTCCAATTGGGTGGGTAGAACCATCCAATTTGCCTTTATGCATCCAATTTATCCGTTTTCGTACACGCATGTTGTATTGTCTATAAGCTTTCACGAGACCTTTATGTAGACGAATAATGGTCATATATGGGTCAAAATAATATTATATGACCCTGTGATGCATCCCGTAGTATTCCGTTAATTTTTGACACCGGATCCCGACACATCCTAAATTGCTTCGATTTGGTGTATTATAAGCCTTCAAATTTGGCTTCCATATATCATTTTTTCACCCGGAAAGATTATGCATCTAGGTACTTCCATGGGTTCCCAAAGGGCCTTAGGATTCATGAATAGTGCCTGGAAACATCTCATTCATCCTTAATCATCATGTCTTAAGGCAAAGTCGACGTACTCTCAAATGACAAAAATATCGGTTTTCATGCCTTGTCCTGGGGTGCACATGTCTTGTGCACATGCCACACGCCCCCTTGCACCATCCAACATCCCAACACTTAGGCTTTGTGACTTGTCTTAATCCCGTACTTAGCATTTTTTAGCATATAAGATGCACCGCTAACCTCGTTTTCCAAAATATAGGTGTTTTTAGGGAATAGGATGGGGGGGAGGGACGAATCGAAGCGACATAGGGATGAATCTCAGTGGATCGTGGCAGTAAGTCCACTCTGCCACTTACAATACCCCGTCGCGTATTTAAGTCTTCTGTAAAGGATTCAACCCGCCGCTCGGTAGGAATTGTACTTCAAGGCGGCTCTCACGGCGCATTTGCTGCGTGAGCTTAGCCTACGACACATGCCCTTGGGATTGAAGCCCCTACTGTAGGACGGTAATCGGGCGGTGGGCGCATGCGTCGCTTCTGGCCCGGATTCTGACTAAGAGGCGTTGACGTTCAGTCATATTCCAGCAATGGTAGCTTCGCACCACTGACTTTTCAACTAAGTGCGATGACCAATTGTGTGAATCCACTACAAGAAAACAGCTTAATTCTGACGGAAAAAATCCGTCGGGACCATCGGAAATTCCGTCGGAAAAGGGTCTTCCGACAGAATTCCGTTGGAATAAGTCTGTCGGAAAACCCTTTGTAGGAAATTCGACCTTTTCCGGCGGAATTTCCGTCGGAAGGCTAGTTTTTGACGAAATTTCCGACGGATTCGTTTCTGTCGGGCTGTTGTTGATTTTTATCGAAAGTCCGTCGCAATATTCCGACGGAAAAGATTCCCTCGGGATATACCTCTTCCGACGGAATTTTCCGTCGGAATATACTTTTTTCCGGCGGAATTTTCCGTCGAAATATAACCCTTCCGACGGAATATTCCGTCGAGATCTGCTTTTTCCGGCGGAAATTTCCGTCGAAAATTTTATTAAAAAAAGGCCCACCCACCACCCCATCGAAACCTAGCCTGAACTAACCAACCCACCGAAACCCACCCACCTTACCACCGAAACACACCCACCGAAACCTACCCACCTTACCACCGAAACACACCCACCAAAACCTAACCGCAACTAACCCGTATCTCCATCTCGCCACCCCCATAACCCAGATCTACCAACCGAAATCGAAACAAGCACCAAAAAATTGAAACAACAACCAAGTTTCGAAATTGAAACCACAAAATCGGAAAAAAAAAACCACAAAATCGAAATCAAAACCACAAAAACTTACAAAAATCGAAAATATTACATAACTTACAAAAAATCGGAAAAATTACAAACTTAAAAAATTACAAACTTACAAACTTACAAAAAATCGAAAAAATTACAAACTTACAAAATTACAAAAAATCGAAAAAATTACATACTTACAAAAATCGAAAAAATTACAAAATTACAAAGGACAAAGGGGCAGTGAAGGATCTTGTTGCGGTTGTGGTTGTTGAAAGCGGTGAGGGATCTTGTTGCGGTTGTGGTTGTTGAAAGGGCGGCATACACCAACCTTGTTGCGGTTGTGGTTGTTGAAAGGGGAAAGAGAAAGCGGAAAAAAGGAGAGAGAAAAAGAAAGGGGAAAAGGGCGACGGACCAGAGAGGAAGGAGAAAGGGGAAAGGGGGAAAATGGAAGGAGAAAGGGGAAAGCGGAGAGAGAAAGAGGGGAAAGGGGGAAAAAGGAAGGAGAAAGGGGAAAGTGGAGAGAGAGGGCGGTGAGGAGAGAGAAAGAGAAAGAGGGGGAAAAGTGGAGATCTAGAAGAAAGGGGAAAGGGGGAAAAAGGAAGGAGAAGAGGGAAAGTGGAGAGTTTCGGGTTTTTAAAAAAAAATTAAATTCAATTCCGACGGAATATTTCGTCAGAATTTTCCAACTGGAAAATATTTTCGTCGGAAATTGTAAATTCTAGTAGTGTTTTTTTATTAAAATACTTCCGACGGAAATCTTTTCCCTCGGAAAATATTGCTTCCGAAGGAATATTCTGTCGGAAGCATTAATTTCCGAGAGAAAAATCCGTCGGAACTATACACTCCATCGAAAACTAACTTTTCCGACGGAATTTTCTGACGGATCAAATTTCATCGGAAAATTACAATTTTCCGACGGAATTGTAGTTCTGTCGAAACGATTCCGTCGGAAATCAACCTATTTCTAGTAGTGATCAACGGTTCCTCGTACTAGGTTGAATTACCATTGCAACACTGTCGTCATTAGGGTAAAACTAATCTGTCTTATGACATTTTAAACCCAGCTCACGTTCCCTATTGGTGGGTGAACAATCCTACACTTGGTGAATTTTGCTTCATAATGATAGAAAGAGCCGACATCGAAGGATTAAAAAGCAACGTCGCTATGAACGCTTGGCTGCCACAAGCCAGTTATCCCTGTGGTAACTTTTCTGACACCTCTAGCTTTAAATTCAATATATATATATAGGGTCGGGATCCGGTGAGAACCACCTTCTATGTGAGAACTCATCCTATATGTGAGAATAAATCTCAGCCATTAAATTGTATTAAATCCAATGGCTGTGATTAATCACATAAACCTTCTAAAACCCATGCCTAACTGTCTTCTCTCTCCACCCAGTTAACTGACTTCTCTCTCCACCACGAAGCTTCATCAATGGCGTCTAATGAATAACTTCATCTTCATTCAACTATCTCAATTATTCTCTCTGCGCTGTTTTACTGCCGTTTATTGCAATCATTTAAACGCTTAGTAACGCTGTTTCTCATTTCTTCGAATTGGATCCTCCAAGTAATCATAATCAAGTTCACACCAACCTCGCTCGCCTTGCTCGATTTTAGTAATTGCAATTGCAATCGCTGCTACAAAATCGAATTCGCCAGGTTATTGAATTGCATGTTAATTGCATGATAATTTTCGATTTTTGAGGTTTGTTCTGTTCTCATTGAATTGCATGTTGAATTGCATTAATCGCCAGGTTATTAAATTGCATGTTGATTGCATGATAATTTTCGATTTTTGAGGTTTGTTCTATTCTCATTGAATTGCATGTTTAATTGCAATCACCAGGTTATTGAATTGCTTGTTAATTACATGATAATTTTTGATTTTTGAGATTTGTTCTGTTCTCATTGAATTGCATGTTTAATTGCATCAATTATTGATTTAATTGAATTTACTTCTTTGATGTTTTTTTGAATTGAATCAATAATTTAGGTTAGATTAATTTGATAGAGATTGAAAATTTGCAATCAAATTTAAAATGAGCAAATAAATTGAAAATGAGCAAACCTAAATATGTGCTAAATAATATACACAAAACACGACTTATCAAACTCCCCCAAGCCAAACTAATGCTTGTCCTCAAGCATTTGACCATAACTCACAAGGGAGGAGAATGACAACTTCTCAAACCATCACAATGTGCCATCAATTTGAAATCACGAGGAAAACAAAAATAAGAGTCAATATGCATAAAAACCACCATAAACCTCATATACTTGGAATTGACAAACATCTTACCACACATCTCCCCATACCAACTCACACAAACATGAATAGCTCTCACTTTAGTTGTGAAAATAAAAACAATAAACGCTCTTGTGTTTACGGGGTGAAATATGATACCACTCAACCTAAGCATAGAATGTACATCAACTTCACGTGAATCGGCCTCTTTAGGCTTGCAATTTGACTTTCTCCACTTTTAGTGATTGATGCAAACACGAAAATTATGAAATCCATATTAAGTAAGCTCGGTAGATAAGGGTTGGACGACGTAATTTGGGAATGTGGTGCTCAAAATAAAACAAATCCTAATCCCACTACACATTCAAATGTCGGGTTCAAGCGAACCTTATTTCCTCCAACTTCATACAATATAAACATAGCCCTTTTATTCTTTCTTTCCCTTTTTTTTCTTTTTTTTTCCAAAGAGGAGGGAATTAATAAAAAAAAAATGGAAGAACTCTCAATTTTTCAAAAACCTTTAAGGCCACTTTTCTTTTCTTTCCTTTCTTCCCTTTTCTAATATCCCCTCTTTCTCTTGTTTTCGAAAACTCTCTTTTTTTTTCGCTTTTTTTTTCAACATCATTCATACTCATAGGGCTTAACAAATGTAAAACACCTTAAAAAAAAACCTAGAAAAATAGCTCTAAAGCTTTAAATGTAGGGTATCAAGAAGGGGTTAATATTGCTCAAATTTTTTCAACCTACGGGTGAATGTAAAATAAAAATAAATAAAAACAAAAAGAAAAAAACATGAAGGCCTAGAATGTGGAGGCTCTAAATTCTACAAGGGAATTTCAATCATCTTTTCGCGACATGCATCAAAAAGTCTCAAATAGTCAAAAAGCAAGACCAAGAATTCGATTATATGAAGGACAATCTAATCACACAAGAAGAAACATGACTGAGGTAGAGTGAAATCAGTCAAATAAGGCTCAAGACTCTCACCGGGTACACAAACTATTCACATAAGTAAAGCGGGGAGACCATCCTGGCCACAACCTAGCTCAAATCCAAGCACTTCAATGAATGGGTTTCAAAAACTCTTTTTTTTTTCTTTCAAAAAGCACACATATGTGGTTATAATCATAGAATCATAGTCATGCAATGGCATATTATTCGACACTAGAAAGAAATAAACTACCCAAAAAATGAAATAAAACTAATATATACAAGGTGAAAAGCATATCCTCCCCCAAGCTAAATCATACATTGTCCTCAATGTATGCATATAACAGTGGTAAATGAACAAGGGGAAGGGAAAAGAAAACTACTGATTAGGAGGGGTAGGGGGAAAGCCATACCTCGGGTCGGTTCTAGGTTGGAAGCACGGACGTGCCTTATTTCGTGGACTCCATCTTCGTAGAATTTTCTCTTTTCACCTATTTAGATAGGGAAAATAATAAAAATTAGAACACTAATAACCACATCGAGAATCAAAAATAAAAATAAAAAAAAAAAAGAATAAAAGAAAAGAAAAGGATCGAGAATGGGTTGCCTCCCATTTAGTGCTTGTTTATAAGGTCTTTAGCTTGACCGTAGTGATACTCATTGGCTCAACCAGGATCACCACACAAAGGGGGAACTCCGCAATGTTGCCCATGGGGATGATTGCCTCCAAGTGACTCCTTCATTTTATTGTTTACCTGCCTTATATCCGAACTCACCTTCATGTGGCCTAGCACATCATCGGGTGGAATTTTGTCCTTGCTTCTCACGAAATTTCTATCAAATACATACTTATAAGACAAAGGGTTAGTAGCATCGATTCTTAAGCAAGTACCACCATCAAATATAGAATTATGTTCATCAAAGAGCTTGAACATGACTTGTTTATCCTGGGCCCTAATGGTTACTTGTCCTTTAGGAACATCTATTAAAACTTGACTTGTGGCAAGGAATGGACGACCAAATATAATCGGGATCTTATGGTCTTATTTCATGTCCATAACAACAAAATCAACAGGAAAAACAAGTTCACCAACCTTAACTAATACATCTTCAACCACACCCTCACGGAGTCTAGAGGTCCTATCAGCCAATTAAAGAGAAATAGGGGAAGGCCTAAGTCCTTGCAAGCCTAAACTCTCATATAATGAATAGGGCATTAAGTTAACACTAGCACCTAAATCGCACAAAACCCTATCGAAAAATTTCTCGTTTATCGTGTAGGGAATAGTGAAACTACCGGGATCATGCAGCTTAGGTGGTAGGTTATCATATAAGAGAGTAGGGCCCTTCTTATGTGCTACTTCCTTATCCTCTTGTTGATCTTTGATATTCTTTACAAAATTTGCAAATTGAGGCATTTGAACTAAAAGATCATAAAAGGGAGTAGAAGCGTGTACCTTCTTAAGGGCTTCACAATATTGGCCAAAATTTCTATCGAGCACGGCTTTTGACAACCGTTGCGGGAAAGGCATCGGTTCCTCATAAGCCGGTGGAGCCACATATTTGGAGCTTTAAACATCTTTTCCCTTTTCGTCTTTTCTAGACTCCTCACTGCACATCTTCTCAACAATTTGCCTTGGAAAGGCTTCATTTCTTCTCAAGAAAACAGCATTGCATTGTTCTTTTTGAACCTTTGCTTGATCTTGAAGAGTTGATAGGCGACTCACTTGTTGTGAAAGTTGGCTTATTTGGCTTTCCATGAGCTTACTATGGGCTTCCAACTGTTGGATGGAGTTACCTTGTTGTTGGATAGCACTATTGGTTGTGGTAATGAAGCTCTCTATCATCACTTCAAGGCTAGATTATTTTTGGGGTTGTGGTTGCATTAGTTGTTGGTTCATGGATGGTCTTTGTTGGAAATCGGGTAGTGGTTGGTTGTAGTTGTTGGGTTGGGGTGGTGGTGATGGATTCTGCTGTGCTTGGGTGTTCTTGTATGATAAGTTTGGATGGTGTTTCCAACCTTCATTATAGGAATTTGAGTAGGGATCATAAGGATTTTTGGGATTTGAGGAGTAGAAAGCATTGTCTTGTTCAATGAACATCACACTCGGGTTATGCGGGCAATTTGGTGCGATATGGCCCTGCACATTACACATTTGACAAACTTCCCGGGGGCTAGTAGAAGTTCCAGCTTGGAACTTATCAAACCTGCTTGTTAGTGCCTGCACAGAACTGGCTAACATAGTCAAAGCATCTACATCAAGCTTACCTCCTTTTTTCACATTATTTCGGCCTCCTGGATGATAGTTACCATTGGCTGCCATCTTCTCTATAAGTTCCTTTGCTTTAGTGGGGTTCTTTGTCAAGAGAGAGCCTCCTAACGCAGCATCAATATAGATTCTGAACTCATGAGTCATGCCATTATAGAAGGTTTGAATTAATATCCACTCTGGAATGCCATGATGAGGGCATTGTCTCTGTAGCCTCTTAAACCTTCTCCAAGCCTCATAGAGAGACTCATCATCTGACTGTTTAAAAGTGGATAACTCATTCCTCAACCTAGCAGTCTTCTCGTGTCCCAAAAACTTCACTAAGAAGGCCTTCACTAGCTTGTCCCACGTATCGAACGAGCCAGTGCCTTCATCTCTCAACCACTCCTTTTCCCTATCCCGTAATGAGAAGGGGAAAAGGCGTAGTCTAATAGCATTATCTGTTACACCATTCATTTTCATTGTATCACATTTCTCCAGAAAACTATCAATATGACTTACCGGACAATCATGCGGTAAGCCTGCGAATGAATCATTGGAGATAAATTCAATGAATTGTGGCTTAAGCTCAAAGTGCTGAGCCGTTACAGGTGGCCTGACAATGCTAGAAATAAGTCCGGTAGTCGTATCAGGAATACCGTACTCCAAAAGGGATTTCGTGGCGTCCGTCATGTTTCTATTGGTTTGATTTATCCTTCTTCTTCTACCTGCCCGTCTTCTTGCGGTTGCTTCGATTTCAGAATCAAAAGGTACGAGATCTTCCGAACTTGAGCTTCGTGTGGGCATGCAACAAGAAAACTAGAGAAAGAGTATCAAAAACACAAGAGAAAATAGCCGAAGCAACGAAATAAGCCTAGCAAAAATGAATCACAAATAATCTAATGAAACCGTTAATCTCCGGCAACGGCGCCAAATTTTGGTAGGCGTGTCGCGTACCTATCAAAAATAACCTAACAGACCAATACTAATGTAGACTGGCAAGTAAGGGTCGGATCCCAAGAGACTAAGGTTCAAAAATAATTAAATAGACTCGAATTTCTACTAAGAAAGAATCAATTATAATCAATTATCTACAGAACTAAGTATGAGAAGAATTCGAAAATAAGCTAAATAAGATGATTAAATGAAGTACTTAAAACATCCAAGATCTAGTTTCACCACAATTATTATCGATGCAATTGTAATTCTACCCTTAACATACGATTTCAATCGAACGGGGAAAAGTAAACCCTAATAATTACCAAGGATCTCTCTCGAGTATCAATGGCTTCCCTAACATACAATCAATCCTATTCTCATGGTATCATGCATGTTAAAGACATTAAACACGTTACTCTCACTTCCCAATTATCAAACATAACTACTCTCGTGTTATGAATCAAACCCTAAATTAATTTACTCAAATCCGTTTATACCCAACTCTCGCTGTGATATAAACAATGGAATAATCGCAATACTATAGTTACGTCTAACCTAGCATTGGCATAATCACAATCAATTTAGTAATTGAATTGTTAAAGTTGTTAAAGAATTTAAAGATTTAATTCATGCATCAATAATAATAGGGCTACACTAGATCTTGAATTAAAGAATCTACTCACACATGATTAAATAAACAATAACAATAATAATTGAAGAAAACATAATTAAGAAACAAGAGATTAAAAGAAAATACCAAATCTTGAATTGAATTGAAGGCGGAAAGTGTAAATCTTGAATCTTGAATTACAAAAGTAAGGAAAAAATAAATAAATAAAATAGAGAGAACTAGTTCTTAATAATAGGAATTGAAAAAAAATATAAACTTAATGAATCCCCCAAGAAAAACAAAGCTAAAGAATATATATACAAGCCCAAAAAGATAAGAAAATCGGCCAAGCCTTGGCGCACAAGAATCCCAAGAGGCACGGACGTGCCTCTCTAGAAATAAAAACGCTGCAGAGTCTGTCTTCCAGGCACGGACGTGCCTGACTGCTGGGCACGGACGTGCCTGCTCTGCTGCGCGTATCACTCATATTAAATCAGTCATAACTTCATATCCAAAGCTACGTTTGAGGCGTGTAATATATCGTTGGAAAGGTGTTCAAGTCTACTTTCCAATGCAATTTGAATCACTCTATTATCATTTGTATATCAAACGTTATGAGCATAATAGTGAACAGGTGTCATATTTGTCAAGTATTTCATCAACGTTTTGCTTCATTTCCACTCAATTACTCCGTTAATCCTGAAATACATCAAAAACAACGAAACTACCCATAAAAGTATCGAATCATCGAAACTAAACCAAATTACACCAAAATGGACTAAAACATTCGACTAAGCTAATAAAACCAACTAAAAACAAGCTAAATAATATACACAAAACACGACTTATCAATTAACCACTTAAGTTAGTTACTAGTTTGCGCGTGTTTTGCTTTATTGCTTGTTTTACTTTGTAAAATGTATAGGCCATTCACATTAGTTGATGAATGAATGGAATAGATATTCTAATGCAGGTTTTACATAATGACAACTAGTGGGGCCCAACTAGGATAGTAAATACGGACTGCGTTTCATTTTGTATTTTTGTAAATCTAAATACGGACTGTGTGCCGTTAAGTATTTTTGTACTTAAATGATTTAGATTACTCCTAGATTTTCTATAGGTGTTTCTAAGAAGACGAGCCGAAAGGATGCAACGAAGGCCCTTGAAGATTTGAAGACTCAAGTTCAAGGGGTCATGCTACTTGCCAAATGCATCTTTATTATGCTTTATATATTTTTCTTACATAATTGCAATGTTAGATGCATGTTTAGGATTTCGAATGTTGAATGATTAGTTTAGTTCACTTAAATCAACCAACATAGAAACCCTAAGTCCCAAAGAAAATTGAGTTAAATCTGCCATTCTAAAAATTAAACTTACGAAACTAATGAGAATAGTAATGGGCTATGCCAAAGCAAGGCATTACTACTTTCATAGGGAAGGAAGTTATGGTGGTGCGCTTGCCAAAGCAAGGCATCACATACACGTTAGTTTTGGTTTGACTCAACGATATCAGTAAGTCCTTAGATGTCGTGGCAATGGAAATAAAACGTCAAGAAAGCATTGGATGCAACGTTTTATCGAACCAAGAGTAGCTTAGAGCTATTAGCATTTGTATTTCTTACCTTAAAATATTAAGTTTTAAGACAAGACAAAGCATGCTTAATCACTTTTTGAATTTTGGGGTCTTAGAATCGTTTTACTCTCGCCGAAATAGGCCAATTTTAAATGTGTGGACAAAACGCTCAATAAGATTGAAATTTTGCATGTATGCTTTAAATTTTAAACTTATTGGTTTTATGAATGGTTTTTCATTGAAAATTCTTTCAATTGTAGAATCATATCTGTAACTAATACCAACAACAACAAATTTTCACTCCGTTCTATTCTCGATAAAGAGAAATTAATGGGACAAATTGGCAAAAAAACTTGTGTATAGTTCTCATTCAAGAACAAAAGGAATATGTCCTTGATGAGGAGATTCCCGACGCTCCTGATGAGGAGGTTACTCAGGCTTCCCTAAACCGATGGCACGCTGCTAATAGGGATGTTAAATGCATCATGTTGACCACAATGTCTCCGGATCTCTAAAAGAACTTCTTTGGAAAGGAGACGGCTTTTGAGATCATTTCTGAATTTCAGAATATGTTCCAAGAGCAGGCCCGAACTGAGCGGTTTGAGACCCATAGGCAGATCCTTGAGAGCAAGCTCAAGAAAGGAGAGCTAGTAAGCCCACATTTACTTAAAATGACCAGATTATTTGAGAACATAGAAAGGCTCGACACAGGGTACTCAACTGAGATGGCAATTGACATTATTCTCCACTCGTTCCACAAAGCTTTGATCAGTGCAAGCATAATATGCACAGCATGGAGAAAACCCTCACCGAGCTTCATGGAATGTTGAAGCAAGCCGAGCAAACGCTTAAGGATGAGGGGAAGCATGATATGCTTATAATCAAGAAAGGCAAGCCATTCAAGCGCTCGGGTAAGAAGAAAGGCTTTAAGAGGAAGGGTAAGAAGTCCTTTTTGCCTAAGTCAAGAACTACCAAGGGTAACAAGGAAAAGAAGGTAGCCTCTTCTAAATCTGATTCCAAATGTTTCTACTGCAAGAAGAAAGGACATTGGAAACAGAATTGCCTCAAATTCAAGGAGGATAAGATGAACTGCAACGTTACTTCTGGATCAGGTATATATGTTGTAGACCTTAACTTTATTTGCAAAGCTTCATGGGTATTAGATACCGGAAGTGGCTCACACCTTTGTTCTAATGCTCACGGACTAAGGAATATTAGAAGGCTAGTGAATGGAGAAGTGGACCTCCGGATCCGCAATAAAGCAAGGATTGCGGCGGTATCCATTGGGACACTTATTTTGTCTTTGCCGTCTGGGCTTATTTTAGAATTTGAAGATTTTTATCATGTTCCAAACATTACCAAAAACATTATTTCAATTTCGGTGTTGGACGCCAAGGGATTTGAAATTCGATTAAAAGACAATAGTTGTTCATTTTATCTCAATAATGTTTTATATGGTACGGCACATTCAGAAAATAGTCTTTATGTGGACCAATGAGCACAACCGTAAGAAATGGTTATCGTATTTTATCACTTTCATGGACGACTTTAGTAGATATGGCTATGTCTACCTTATGTCACACAAATCTGAATCTTTTGAAAAATTTAAAGAGTTTCAGAGTGAAGTGGAAAATCAGCTAGGCAAGAAAATCAAAGCACTTGGCTCGAATCGAGGTGGCGAGTATTTGAGCTATGAATTCAATGATCTTCTTAAAGACCATGGTATTCTCTCAGAGTCGACACCTCCCGGAACTCCACAATGGAACGGAGTGTCCGAGAGGAGAAATCGAACTTTGTTAGACATGGTTCGATCAATGATGGATCTTAGCGATCTTCCTATCTCTTTTTGGGGACACACACTTCTAACCGGGGCAATAACACTGAACTGAGCTCCGTCAAAAGCTATCGAAAAGACTCCATATGAATTATGGACAAAGAAACCTCCACGGTTGTCTTTTCTTAAGATTTAGGGTTGTGAAGCATATGTCAAAAGATTAATTTCCGACAAACTTCACCCAAAATCTAATAAGTGTCTCTTTGTGGGATATCCAAAAGAAACAAAGGGGTATTAGTTCTACAATTAGTGTGAGAACAAAATATTTGTTGCTCGAGATGGTGTCTTTTTGGAAAAGGAGTATCTTTCCAAAAGGCAAAGTGGGAGGAAAATCGAACTTGAAGAAGTTCAAAAGGATGAGCAACAAATTCAACCTGACAAAATTGACAATCAAAGTGCTTTAAAAGCAACTATTGACATTGGTCAGAGTCAAACTGACAATGTGAAAAGTCAAAATGACAATGCAAATGGTCAACCTATTACCTTGTGTAGGTCGCAAAGGACAAGATCTCAACCAGATAGATACCTCGGTGTTGTTTTAACCGAGGATCTAAACATCCTAGTTGTGGATGAAGATGAGCCAACGACATAAAAACAAGCTATAATGAGCCCCGACTCTGCAAAATGTCAAGATGCCATAAAATCCGAGATGGACTCCATGTTTGAAAATTAAGTCTGGGACTTGGTTGATTTGCCCAAAGGTTACACACCTATTGGTTGCAAATGGATTT